AATGCTTAAGGCTCGTGTAGATAGATTTCCAGAAGAACCTGTCTTTGGATATAGACATAAGATTAATGGAAGATTTGGTGATTATGAATGGTTAAATGGACCACAGACTATTCAACTTGTTGATTCTATTGCAGGTGGACTAGTTAATTTATTACATTTAAAGAAAGGAGATACATGTGGTATTATGACAAGAAATAGATATGAATGGTATATTCTTCAATTTGCTATGCAAAGACAAGGAATTATCATAATTCCAATGTATGGGACATTTGGTATTGATGCGTTAGATTATATTGTCAAAAAATTAGAATTAAAATATCTATTTTGTTCTCCCATAAGTAAAGGGATTGAACTTATTGAAAAAAATCCTAGTTTAAAACTTGCTACATTCGATAAATTAACTGAAAAAGAACTTGAAGATGTTCCATCAAATCTTAAGATTATTACTTATGAAGAAATTCTTACTTTTGGACAAAATCATCCAGTTGCTATTGACCTTCCTTCTATTGATGATACTTATTCTGTTATTTTTACTTCAGGAACATCAGGAAATCCTAAAGGAGTTGTTCATACTCATAGAACTATTAATAATGCTGTATGGTCTTTTTGTTCTTGTGGATATTTTGATAAAGACGTTGTTTTAAAAGGTAAAATTAATTATTCATATTTACCATCAGCCCACGTTTATGATCAACAAATTGTATTATCATTTGTATATGGATATGGTGCGGTTGGATTTAATTCTGGTGGAATTCCAACTCTTGTGGATGATTTCCAACACCTTCATCCAACTTTTCTTATTACTGTTCCACGAGTACTTCAAAAAATTTATGACAAATTTATTGAAACTGTTAGTGCTTCTTGTATTGCAAATACTGTCTATAAAGTTGCTTACTATTACAAGAGTCGTGCTGTACATGATAATACAACAACATTGATTAATTGGGATGCTATTATCTTCAATAAAATCAAAGAAATGTTAGGTGGTCAATTAGATGTTATTTTAAATGGATCTGCTCCTTTAACACAAGACCTCTTCCAATGGTTAAGAGTCTGTACTGGTGCAAAGATTTTCCAAGGATATGGTTTAACTGAATCATTTGGAGGGTTTTGTACTGCAGCTCCAGGTCTTCATGACGATAACCATACATCAGTTGGATCACCTTGCATTGATTGTCATATGAGACTTGTTAGTATTCCTGATATGGATTATGATGTTCATGCTGAAGAACCAACTGGGGAAATTCAAATTAAAGCGAAGCAAATATTTAAGGAGTATTATGGAGATGAAGCTATGACTAAAGCATCTTTTACAGATGATGGATATTTCTGTACTGGTGATGTAGGACGAATTAATTATGATGGATCAATTAGTATCATTGATAGAAAAAAGAATTTATTTAAGTTAGCACAAGGAGAGTATATTGCTGTTGAACCATTAGAAAATTTGTATGGGCTTTGTCCATTACTTCAAAACGTGTTTATTTATGGTGAAAGTACAGACACTTTCATTGTTGGTATAATAGTTCCAGAGAAAACTGAATTTATTAAATTCCTTCAAACACAATGCCAATATGATGGTAGTTCTGACGAAGACCTTAAAAGCTTTATTGAAAGAAAAAATGTTAAATTGTGTGTAATGAAAGAGTTAGAAAACCATATTAGAAACAAAGGAGTTCCAGGTTATGAAGTTCTTAGAAATATTTATATTGAATTAACTCCATTTAGTGAAGCAAATAATTTACTAACTCCATCCTTCAAATTAAGAAGACCTCAAATTAAAAAGAAATATGCTGACATTTTAAATAAATTACGGAATGAAGTGATCAACAACGAACTTTGAATCAAATAGTAAAAATATTTTTTTTTGGTTTTATTCAAGAAATTAACAATAAAATATTTAAAAATATATTTTTCTCTAATTTTTAGGATATTTTAAAAAAAAACATCTTTATTCAAAATTATTCATAATAATTTTGTTTTAAATTAAATTGAAAACAATTACAAGTTGAAAGACAGAATGAAAGACATAAAAAACTCTATGATTTATTTGAAACAATTGACCTTATAAAACAAAACTAGTTGGGAGTCTACAGACAATGTGTTTAAAAGATAAATTGATATAATTAAAATAATACTTAATACTTAGAAATGGAAAATGTTTTGAAAAGAAGATATAACTTTTTTTTTATTATATGATAATAATAATAGTTATATGATTTATTTTGATAAGAAGTTAGAAGGAAGTTCAAAAATAGATTAAAAAATAATAAATCAAAAACGAAAAATGGATTCTAGTACTATTTAAATAAATTACTATATTGGGTTAAGAAAATGAAATTTTATAAAAGAAAAATACAACAAATTTAATGATGTATCTAATTGTATATTATTATGTATAACATATATTAAATATATTATTGCTAATAAAAAATTAATCAAAAATATAAATAATATAAATGAAATAGTTATCAATTTCTCCGTTTTATTTTTTAAAACTGTATGAAATGTAGAGAAGGAAATCCTTTTTTTTTTAAAATTTGAGAAGTATCTAAGGCTTAACACATGCACATTCATTTAATGAATTATTTTCAGTTATTCTATATGTTTATCCAAGTATCCACTTTATTACCTTACCCAGTTTAATAAAAAAATTACTAAAAAAGTATACTATGCTTAGAGCTTATTTGAAAGAAAAATAAATTTTGACTAACATTAAGAATATACATTAAATAGATACAAAAAAATGAATAGAGAATTACTAATTAACTTATGCCCTCACAAAACCAATTTAAATTATTGTGTCAAAAACAGTTTATAGAATAAAGAATTATTTTTTTATTTGTTTAGGTTCAGACGTAATTGTCATTGAATGAGAAAAGATTTAAAACAATCAATAAGTAGTTATGCATAATTTTAACTTCTATTGTTACTTAAAAATAGAGAAAATTAGTGAAAGAAATTTTTTGTTTCTTTCATAGAAAGTAAAAGCAAAAAATAAAAGACATGACAACAAGCAAAATAATTCCAAGAGCATTTACAATTTAATTGTAACTGATAAAATCTAAAATAATACATTGTAATTAAAAAGTGAGTGGATTAAACAATAAAAAATTGAACTAGTATTATTTAAAAAGACATTTAAAAAGAAGTTGAATTCTGAACTAATCTTTTTTTCTGTTTCTTGATGAAGGTAAAAATTCTTAAACATCCTCTATTGGAAAATACCTTCTAATATAAATTTATTTTTTAATTGACTTAGACCAATACACTAAAGTTATTAGAACAACAAGACATCCCCATATAATTTTCTTTATATGCTAAGATATAAATACAGTACTTAACTCAGTCAATTATTTATTGGAAAACAAACACTCAATAAATAGATATAAAACCTGAATCATTTGTAAGTTATTATTTAAGTTATAGTCTATTTTTTATCCCATTAATTCATTAAACTACCAAAAGTATTACACTTACCTCATTTGCAGAAGTTCTTTACTATTTGTAATAGGATATAAATAAGGTTCTTTTATCAACTAATGAAGTTATGTTTTTCAAAGAGGTTCTAAATCACAGTTAATTTTGGGTCATAAGTGAACCCAGTAATGATATAATAATATATAATAACAGAACTTCTTCAGCATGCCATACAAATACTTAATGACTTTTAGTATTCTATTTTATTCTTTTATTTGATTTTCGGAAGGGATAAAACTACGATGAAATTAATTTTTTAAAACCAACAAAAAGGTCAAAAAGAAAGTTTTTGACTGTTAAGAATTCTTTGGAAGTCTTTAGAATTTTGTTTCAACTTTTTTTAGGAAAAAATGTCCTGTCGAACTTTATAAACTCGAGAAACTGTTTATTTTATCAGTAAGAGCACTATGTTAGAATTTGTTATGGATCAATACGCTACTCTCTCCGCATTATTTATCTTTGCATCACCTGCTGTATGGAATACCCTTGCTCATATAGAATATTTTACTCATAAGATTTCACAAATGTTCCGTGGAAATAAAGAAAATGGATTTAGATTTGTTATGTGTATTATTATTAGTATGCAAATCATTAGAAATATATTCTTCTATATGGCATGTACAAGTGCTGTTCCAATGATTCCAGCTATTGATTCATTCCTTAGTTCTATTCCAACTTTAGTTAATATTATTGCTATTCCTATTCAAATTTTTGGTTGGATTCTTTCTATTAGTTCATTCTATAGACTTGGATTTAAAGGAACATATGAAGGTGATTGTTTTGGATTCCTTTTCGATGAGTTTGTTATTGTTTAGTTGTATATTTAATTATTAATTAAATACAAAAAGATATTAATAACTAGAATGATAACTTCATTCCCATTTGGATTTGTTCCACACCCAATGTATTTTGGTGGTGCTCTTTTGTTTATTAGCTCTGCTTTGTATTATTATTCATCAACTGGATTAATTCTTTCAATTTGGTCAATTGTCGTTTATTGCATCTTCTCATATCTTGTAGAACAACCACTTACTATTTTAATTTATTCCAATAAAAAAACACAACATGATGAGAAGAAAGAAGAGTAAATTAAGAAATATAATAAATTCACTTTTTTTTTAATCTATGTTTAATATTTTTGAACCTGAGCAATGATAACTTTTACTAAACATTCCATCTCCTGATTCTTTGCTAAAATAACGACATTCATAAGTTCCTTTTTTAAGTTCTGTTATATTCATTTCTATTGGATAATTCATTCTCATTGGTGTACAAATGATGTAGTCTTCATTTCTTGTTGTTGGATGATGTGGATAGATTCCTATCCATCCCATTTCTCCTTCTTCACTTACTCTTACTTCTAACATTCTTTTGCTATTATAACAAACAATATTGCATGTCATGAAAACAATTGGTCCAACAACTACATCACAACTACTTCTAGGTTGAAAACTTCCTTCATT